CGGACATAAGAAATAATGTACATATATATATAACATATATATATAACATATATATATATATATATATATATAACATATATATATATATATAACATATATATATATATATATAACATATATATATATATATATATATATATATATATATATATATATATATATATATATATATATATATATATATATATGTATATATATATATATATATATATATATATATATATATATATATATATATATATATATATATATATAACATATATATATATATATATATATATATATATATATATATATATATATATATATATATATATATATATAATATATATATATATATATATATATATATATATATATATATATTATTCAGTAAATCATGTAATACCAAAATTTATATCTGGTCAAAGACTAAAAAACTGAAGAGCAATTTGCTCGTTATACATTCAAAAACTTAGTTTTTAATAAGGTGACAGTCTGGTGCAACAAAATAATGTAGGATATATAGCTGCATAGTTAGTAAACATAATTATTAAAAATAATAAATTCATGTCTGTATATGTTCATATCATGTTATGAAATGAAACATCTTTACTTCAAATTTTCCATTTGTGTTTACAAATATGTCCATTTGTATTTTCAAATTTGTGTACTTAAACTTTAATTTATTTTGTGCAACATCCTTTAAGTTAACTTAGGATTTTTTATTATATACTTGTTTGTTTTGTTTAGTTTTATTTGAAGGTTTACATAAGTATCGGGTCATTTTTAGTAGAAAACTAGAACTTAGCTGTTTACTTGGTTTACTTGTGGATAAAATTTACTTGTAAGTAAAGCTTCTTACAAGCTTCAACTCATTTGATTTTTTATTTTAGCTTCAGTCATTTAAATATTGTGTTCATGGTAATTGTATCGTTCCACTACATATATTTTATTTAATCCTGCAACTATGTCTGGAGTAGAGCAGTGAATAACTCTATGATCCATGATTCAAAATATTCCTCGTAATATGTCCATCTCTAAAATTCATTCAGTTTGTTTGTAAATCTTATATTTTTTTTTATAAAACGTCATCTTTGGAAAGCCTGTAACACTTACTTTCTCCATTAGCGGTTTTACTTTTAAAGTTATTGAAGCACTGTTTTAATAATTTTTAAAATGCTGCGCCAAAAAAACAGTTAATCATTAGTAATTAGCAGTAAAATAAATATTTCTCATATTTTAATATATTATTGTAATAATCAGATAATGTTAACTGCTTTGTGTGATATAGTTTGAACAACTGAATAAAGTATAGATGCATTTGTTTTGATTTTTTTCGTGTTTTTCGACTCGATTATATTAAGCGATGAGATCAAGCGCTATTGATTTCTTATTAGTGTATGCGAGAAAATTTTTCAACTTATCTCAAGATCTAAAAACGGCTAGAATTTTGTCCCTACAGGCCAAATTCAGATATTCAAACCGCGTCGTATGAAACTTGCTAATTGCAACACACCTAACTCGTCAGTATGCCATCATAGGTCATCATTTTAATTTAAACAAGCTGTGTCTGCCTTGTTCAAAAGATAAAATTAAAATAAGTATTCCACTAAATGCACAAAACTTGAAAATAAAATGTATGAAATTTCATTTCTGCACAGTTAACAGTAAAATCACAATCTTAAATATTTAAAGGGATTAAAAATACAACAGCAAACTGTAAATCGATTTTCGTTGATTACAAAAGCAATATTTGTGCGTAAGGGACGTATTTTTACTAAAACTAATGTAAAGTCAGTATAGACATGTCGATCTAATCACTTTTTCGCCATAACCAATATTTATGAAAATATGACCGGTATGCCATCATAGGCGCCTTTCCCTTAATTATTTTTCTAGACGTATCTTTGAAAATAAGAAAGTATAAAAACAAATATATTTTACAAAAAAAAAAAAATCACGACTATTTAAATTACAGCAGCGTTCATTCTTATCACATTTAAAAAAAAAAAACATTTCTTATAATCTTGCTAAAAAAATAATCGTTTTTATGTTTTATTATACTTCATAAAAACTACGTTTAGTTGAATTAACGCAATTAAAAGAGTCTCATTACCCCGAAATTGTCATAGCATTTCATAACGTAAAGTTACAAAAACCGGCAATCCAATGAAGTTTTTCTTTTTGTTACTGCATTTTATAGCAACCTAAATTACTAACCTATTTGTAGTAAATAAGTTTCAGACATCCAATGGATATTTTTAGAATATTTGGAATATTAAAATTATTTTTTGGAATATTAAAAGTTGCATTACTTGTAGTAGGACAATTATAGTTAATTATTCAAAATGTAAATTGTGTAATTAAGACTTTCTTATGTACTTAAAAAGCGATTAAGAAACCATAAAAATGGCCATATATCCAGTTGCAGAACAGGCAAATCAACAGACCGATTTAACAATCATTTATATGATTGCCAGAGATCGTATAATAAAACTATGGAAGCTTTCTTCAAGCTCTTTGTTTTTCTTGAGTTGAAAGATAAGTCATTTACACAAAAACATGACATCTTTAATTAATATTATGGTAATTTTAATAAATTTTTTTTATAATATTATGGTAACTCATAGTTGCAACGAAACAGTTACTTTTATTATCTAACTTTTACACATGTCTTGATAAAAGCATTCACGCTCTACTAATAAAAACACCGAAAAGCCTCTAGTGCCAATTATTTGTTAGTACGTATTGTTTTGTCGATATTAGTTATTATTGAAGACAATTTCAAAATTGTTTTCAGTAATAACTAATAGTTTAACTGTGTGAATGACCATCGAGTTTTCGCTAAAATGATCTAAACACTCATAATATAATATTATTAAATATAATTATTTAATCATAATATAATATTATTAAATATAATTATAAATGCAAAAGATGCGTGCTACATACACTAAATAACCACACGTTGCGTTAGTAATTGCGTTGGTATCAACCGATAGAAAAATATCTTATGCTCTATATGCAGTGGGGTGCGACTCGGCAAAATTTGCATTAAATTCATGTAATTGCTAACGCAAAGGCTTCTGGGATGTGTAGTACAGCCAGATTGTAAACATAAACAACAAAATAGTAATAAAAAATTACTATTTTTATTTTGTTATTGCATGATTCAATCAATTTTAATTTGTTTTTCTTTTTACTTTCTTTAAATTGTTTAAATATAGTACAGAATACTTATCAATGTCTGCCGGATCTTGTGCAGCTCTTAATTTTGAGCATAAACAAGAAAATTATATATATATATATATATATATATATATATATATATATATATATATATATATATATATATATATATATATATATATATATATATATATATAAACATATTATATTATATAAATATATGTATGAATGATTTTTTATTTAAGATGTAAAGATTAATAAAAAATTGTGAGCAAAAATAAAGCAAGAATCGTTACAGCTTTTAAGGAAGACTGCAATTATACTTTCTTATGTATTCTTCAATTAAAACATGCATCATATTTGATATACTACTTTGTTGATATACCATTTTATTGTTATGTCAACTTTCATTATTGTGACATAGACCCATGTAATAATAGTTGCTTGTATTATTCAAAAATAGTAAAATATTATGTTTAGTTGAAAAATGTTTATTTATTTATAATGTGGTAAATTGAAATTACAAGCTTTAGATGTACTTAACAACTTTTATTTTATATTTAAGATGAGGAATTTAAAATACATTTATAAAAATATAGAAAACAATATCGAAAGCATATTAACACTAGAAGGAACGTTTGAGTTGTTTTATACTAATAGAGCTCAATAAACAATTCATATAGCAGTTGTATAGTTTTAGGCTAAAAAAAATCTTCAAATATTAAAACATTTAGATACAACTTGAATACAGCCTCATCTTAATGTTTTCAAAAATGTTTTTATTTTTAAATAAAACCTTAATTGCTGTCTACCATACAGTTATATTAAAAACCTTCTAGCATACTGCAGAGGGTAGTTAAGAATTGAAACGTACATGTTTAAAAAAACATGTTCATATAACTTATACTATTAGTAAACCTATTAGTAATAAGTTTACTTTGTTAAAAAATGTAACATTGTTTGTAAACAGTATAACAATGTAACATTTTGAAAACATTTGGAATATATAAATATAAAAATAGCACTTTATGGCATTTAGTGTTTGTTTTTTTCATATATTTTGAATTATAAAAATAACATTGAATAATATTTTTTTGATTCAAAATATAACAAAAATACAAACATTAAAAATGCCATAAAAAGCGATATTTATACCTATATATTTCATCGTTTTTACAAAAATCTATTTGATTTTTAAGTAAACAAATATTTCTACTATATTTTAAGCATTTTTTTAAAAATAAGATAAACCATCATTACAAAAGCATTATCCTCTACGAATTCTTCAAAGCGTCTTAACGTTAATGTTTATAAATCTGGCTGTACTAAACATTCCAGAATCCCCGTTCGCTAAATTACAAGAAAACTTGCGAGTCGTACACCACTGTCTATATGCATTAAAATTGTGTGTAAGTTAATTATTATTACTATAAAATATGGGTTCAGCATCAAAATTGTTTCGCCGTACTGTTGGGTAAAATAGCTTTGAAACTAGACAAAAGTAACTTAAAAATTATTTTTTCCTTAGCAAAAGCTGCAAACCTAAAATTAAAGAGTCTCTAAAAAAAATTTGAAATTTTTAACAAACTTAAGCTTTAACACTATTAAAGCAAAGTTGTACTAAGAACTCGCTTGCACGAGTTATTAGTACAACTTTGCGTGTTTCAAGAACATGTGGGTTTCAAGCTTTCAAATTAATTAAGTGAGAATTTTGGGGGTTGTAAAAAGATTTTAATGGAGATGTATTTTCCTTCATTTTTTGTTGTTTTCTTATGTTTAATTTTTAATTAAGTTTTCATTGGTTTATTTATTGCTTCAAATTTTTTTAGCCGGAAGACGAAAAAGACTTAACAAAATGGAAGAATGCTATCGAAAAATGCCTTTCACAGTCTTCCAGATTTTATCATAGATCTGGCTCGCTGTAAATGTCTCACTTGTTTTGCCCTATAAATATCTCATTTTCTCTTGTCCTTTTTTCCTCTAAACTTTAATAAATACTTAAGATCTTGCTGTTTTAAATGTTTTTTCTATTCTTTTATATTTTTATATCTTTTTTTTTATATATATAATTTTTGGTTTTTATAAATGTACATCTTTTTTATCTTCACTAAAATAAATATTTATGTAATATTTTTAAAATGTTTAGCAATTGATGTTCAAAGAATTTGATTGAAAATTTTTTTTTTTTTGCCTGCTACTTTGATGTTAGCAGTAACTGGTTTCTAAAATCCGTGGTTCTAGAAAGTGGGTATAAAATAAACTAAAAGTTTGCAAAACCTCGAAAAAAATTAAATTTGTATGGACAATAGTCTCATCATGTATTGAGGATATGAGGATATTGAGTGTATTGAGGATATTGAGTGTATGTTGGGATATTGAGTGTATTTGGGATGTATTGAGGATATTGAGTATATGAGGATACTAGGAAAACATGGTGATGTTTCGAAGTAATCCTGCACTGTCTCAGTTATTTGTACCTCTGCTATTTCTAGGGTTGAGCTTTTACGGTAAAAACTTCCAAGCTTTTTACCGTAAAAGTTTTTTATTAATAATCTAAATAAAAATTCGTAAATACTTTTTTTATTTTATCAAAAGCTCTATTTTCGCTAAAATTTTTTATATAGCTTCTATTATTTCCTCCTCATTCCACGGTATAAATTTTTATCGATAAACTCTAATATAATTTAAAAAGAAACATTTTGAAGAGTAAAAAAAAAAACAACCTATAGATAACTAGTCGATTAAAAAAAAGAAAGAAAATAGTATTTTAATTTATTATAATTTATCTCTCGACTCTCGATTAAAATAGTATTTTAATTTATTATAATTTATCTCTCGACTAAGCCTCTCTCGACTCTTCTCATGCTGACAAGCAGCAATTTTGTAGTAGATCGTTATTGTAATAATTATTATAATTTTGTAGTAGATCGTTATTATAATAATTGTAACATTAATGGTAATTGTTATCTAGAATACATAGAATTGTATTTTCAATTTCGAAAAAAATTTAAATACTCAGTATCATCGAGAACAAATAAATGAAAGAACAATAAAATATAAATAGTGATTTATTAAGTAAACCTACATAAATAGTTCTTTTAGTAAACAATACATATAAATCCATTTAAAAAATAATTTAAATATAATTTAATTAAATTTCTTCTCTTGATAAATTAAAAATTAACTCAAGACAATTTAAAAATTAGACGGTCATCTTAATAGATGACCATCTAATGGTCATATTATAGTTTGCCTAGTGCAATTTTATCTTACAAATTTTAAAGTATCTTAACAAAATGAAAAAGCAAGATATTTTATTACGAAAGAATATTTTTATTACATAGATAAAACGTGTCTCAAAATATTAGCTATGTATTATACAATATTTTTATTACGTTAATATGAAAATTATTTACGGTGTTAAAGTATCTTTATTCTTTTGAATTAAATCAAATCATCGGTGAATCAGTGTAGCTTTTCCATGTGTAACGAAGGGCAAGAACTTGCTTTTTTAAGTCTCTGAAATTTCTTACAATCAATGTTAATATCAATAAATATATTTTTCGATGCATCATTTTTAAAAACGTTTTTAACAGAATCAAACTTATTAAATTTTTGAAAATTTTTAAAACAGGTTTTATCCAAAACTGGATTAGAACTATCACTGCAATCCATTTTATTGCAAAATGTCAATGAATTAATAGAACTGCCTTCATTGCACATAGTTTCTCGACTATTTAAAGAACTTCCATGTGACTCTTTTTGCAAATTCATCAAACCATTTTTATAAAAGTGCTTGAAGGCTTTGTTAAGTTTTTTAATGAAACGATCAACATCAGTTTTAGTAGCCCCAAGTGCGGCAGCAGCAGTCAGATACGGAGTAGGATAGTTGTTGTAGTGTGCACCCCATCCACAAAAAGTATTTGGTCCAATAACCTTTTCTTCTTGTGTAGTTACAACTCTGAAAAAATATTGTATGCTCTATTATTCAATTTTTCGATTGATTGCATGAAAATAATTTTTAAAACAAAATCAAAATGAAAAAAAGTTATCGAAAAAATCAATTTAAATTAGAGTATATTACATTTAAGCAATTATAAGCAATTGAAATATAATTTACTATCACAACGCACATAAAAATATCACACTAATTAAATTAGACTTAGGCGAGCATTACATTGATATTAATTAGGAACAAATGACATCAAAGTTTCGTTTTATATGATTTCTCTACTTTTTGACTAAAATAATAATATTCAAAACATAAGTTAAAACTTTTGAAATGTTTCAAACTTTTGAATTGTTTTAAACTTTTGAAATGTTTTAAACTTTTGAAATGTTTTAAACTTTTGAAAGTTTTAAACTTATGAAAGTTTTAAACTTGTGAAATTTTCAAACTTTCGAAATTTTAAAAATTTCAAAAGTTTTAAACTTTTAAATATGAAATTAAATAATTTATTGATATCGACAGTCTGATTTTTTTTTGCACAGCACAAATTTATTAAATTTTCTTATCACTTTTAAACAGCCTTTACTTCAGTTTTCAAACATAATGCTTAGTTAATTGGATAAGTTTACAAAAGAAAATTCAATAGCGGACCCAAAGGGGAGCGATTGCCTCTATCGCCTACCCTATGGATCCGCCTTTGCCTACAAGCATTATTTGTATATATATACGCTCAATTAATATATTTTTACTCCACTGCGCCTATCCCTATTTATTTCAGTCAATTTATGTAAAATACGGCTTTATATGCTATATGACTTATTTTTCGCGCGTATATTTTGTTATTGCACTATGTGTTTAAGTGAGGCAAGACAATACAAAAGATTTCTCAAATTTGAAAATCTTAAAAATGTATAATTATACATTGATCCACCTATTATATGAAACTTTAAAATATATATACATTTTTTTAAACATCTTCGCTTCCAACAAGGCTGCAAGTAACCACTAAGTAGTGTTAGAAGTTACTGGAAGAGAAAAGATGAAGATTGTAGAGCAAGACAACAATTGACAGACGACTTAAAAGATTGCAAATTATATGAATCAGGAAAGCAAGATGAAGGAAGCGAATTCCAAAGAACTGATGTTTGAGGAAAAAAACTAGACGAGTAAGAGTTTTTGGAGTACTTAGGAACAGTAACAGAAAAAGGACGAGACTTAATTGAATGACGAGTAACACGAGAATGAATTTTAGTAGATGGCACAAGAGACGCTAGCTCTTTAGAGCAGTGCCCATTATAGTATTTGTAGAAAGGAGAAAGAGAAGCAACATTACGACGATGTGACAGAGGTTGAAGGTTGGCTGCAAGAGCAGGTCCAACTATGTTTACAATACGTTTTTGCACCTTGTCTAAAAGAGAAAGGGCATCATTAGAAGATCCGCCCCAGATATGGCAACAGTATTCCATACAAGGCCGGATTTGAGATTTATAGAGATAGAGAATAGAATCCAGAGTAGGAAAGTGTCGAGCTCGATAAAGAGATGCAACTTTAGCAGATGCTAATTTTGCAACGGATTTGACTAAAGGTTTCCAAGAAAGACCAGAAGTAAGAGTTAATCCTTGAAGATGAAGGGTAGGAGACTCATCGAGTACATTACCGTTCATAAAAATAGGAAGGTCTAAATTATTGTGATAACGATTGGCTGAAAAAAATTGAGTTTCATCTGAATTAAAGTTAACCAGCCACTGTGAGCCCCATGCTGTAGCAAAAGTGAGATCCTTTTCGAGCTCAGATGCCCCCTGCAAGCAATCAGAAGGAGTTGGCTTCTTATTGTGACAAGAATAATGGTAGTATCATCAGCAAACAATGCCACCTTAGATGTGAGAATATCTGGAAGATCGTTAATGTAAATTAAAAAAAGTATAGGGCCAAGGATTGAACCTTGAGGAACCCCTGAGGTTACAGAATAAAAAGAAGAGTGCTGTCCATCAAGGACAACTTTTATACTACGATTGGAAAGAAAGGATTCAATAATCTTAAAGATGTTTCCAGATACACCGTAAGAAAAAAGCTTATGGAGAAGACCAGCATGCCAAACTTTATCAAACGCTTTAGAAATGTCAAGAGCAATGGCCTTAACCTCTCTACCTTTATATAATGCACGATAAATCCTATCGGTTATTACTGTTAGCAAATCAGACGTAGAATAAGAAGATCGAAATCCATATTGATGATCAGAAAGTAGGTTATGAGATTCAAGATTAGAGGTTGAGTGTTTGTTAATTAAAGATTCAAAAACCTTGCTTATGATAAGAAGAAGACTAATGGGACGGTAGTTAAATGAATTGAATCGCTCTCCAGAATTTTAAAAAATAGGGATAACAGATGCTGCTTTCCAGCAGGCTGGAAAACAAGACTCTGATAAGCACTTGTTAAATAGTTTTGAAAGGATAGACGACAGCTCCGGAGAACACTTCTGCAAGACTATAACAGGTATGTTGTCTGGGCCGCAAGCTGTAGAAGAGTCTAAGCAAGAAATCACTTTAGATACAGAAGTTGGAGTGATACGGATGTCAAGCAGTGGATCAACCTGTTTGACGGCTATATCAGGTAGAACGCAACTAATGGAATCAAGAGATGATATTGGTGAAAAGTTCTTGGCAAACAATTCAGCTTTGTCTTTAGATGAGGTGACAAAGTCTGAACCGTACAAAAGAGGTGGAATTACAGACTTGCCCTTATTATTGATACTATTAAAGATTCTCCAGAAGTCACGAGAGCCTAATTTTTGTGATGAAATACGAGATTTCATGATTTGAGAATAGCGGGCTTTGGCGTTAGACAAAACTTTTTTACAATGGTTCCTAGCAGTAATAAACAGACGTCTGTTTTCTGGAGAATTGTTTTGCTGATAGATATGGAAGTAATGGTTTCGATTGGCAATTGCAGCAGCACAATGTGAGGAAAACCATGGAGAAGAGTGAGGCTTGACCTGGAATCTTCGAGAGGGAATAAAGGATTCCATGCCAGCCTGAACCCACGAAGTTATGTAAGAAGCACATTTGTCAACAGGAAGACGAAAGATTTCTACCCAGGGCCCATCACGAAGAACATCACGGAAAGAGTCCCAGTCAGCTTTAAGGTTGTTGTAAGATGTACAATCATAGGAGGATTCTGATGGTAAAGAAGAACGAGATAATAGTTTTAGAGAGACCAAACCATGATCAGAAGCACCTAAGGGTGAGTGTGAAGAAACTGAGCACTGACTAGGATTAGAAACAAGACATAAGTCGAGTCGAGTCGAAACAAGACATAAGTCGAGAATTAAGACATAAGTCGACATAAGTAGAGAAGGTAAATGATTCGGATTGTCTGGAAAGCGAGTTGGAAAGTTGACTATTTGAGTTAGGGATTGAGAAAGGCAAAAGTTGTGGGGCTTAATGCCAGCGGAGTCACTGACACTAGAGGCAAGCCATTCAGTGTGATGAACATTAAAGTCACCGACAACAACAATATTGGCTGATGGATAAAGAATGAGGGCTTGGTCAATAAAATCAGAAATAACATCAAGAAGAGTGCAGTCTTGAGATGAAGGAGAGCGATATAGAACAAAGAGAAAGGTGATAGAGTGAAGTGGTGCTAAACGAAAGCACATAAAAGAGTAGTCAGCGGATTCAAACCTAATTTCCTGACAAATGGGTGAATTCTTACGAATGTAAATGCCTAGGCCAAGCATGTGACTATTGAAGTCTTTACGAATTAATGGAAGATAACCATCAACACTGATATCACAAGATGAGACAGCTGAACTAAAATTAGTCTCACAAATAGCAAGTAGGTCTGGTGAACTTTGCAAGAGATAAGACTCAACAGAAGAAAAGTTACTTCGAAGACCACGAATATTGGTGAATGATAGGTTTAGCGAACTTGGTGATGACTGTGGTTTTTTGTGATTTATTATTTTTGTTACTTTATTCATTTTTAAATTTGTTAAAGAATTTGACTCGAAACATAGATAGTAATCAGTACACTGTTTTATAGCCCAAGTAATTGCCTCATTTCCACTAATAAACCCTAAGCCGTAACAAAGGGCTCCAATGTGGCCTCGGCAATGCACACCAAAAGTACAAACAGGGACACCATCCATGCGTAACATGGCACTGTTAGTACTCTGATATTTTTTAGCTGTTGATGGAATCAGCCTCTCTGAGAGCTACCACAGAGTTCGGGAAACCTGACTACCAGCCGGCCTCAGAACCATAAAACTGAGTTTTAGAGCTGTAACCTCATTTGGAGATAATAGAATGAGTTGCGTAGTCATAAAAACAGAGGCACAAGCAAAACCCATGCATCAAGTGAAGAAGATCCAGCGTTCAACATCCTAAACTGGAAACAATGTATTAAAAATACATCTGCGCCAGCCTAATAGATGGAGAAGGGGTGCGAGGCTGGTCAACAGATAGAATCTGTTTACCCCTAAAGTCTTTGCCTAGGAGGCCTTCTACAAGACAGCAGCCGGATGCATTTAACATCTGCCCAAGATGAGTATTTTTATCGAGACACCATCTCTAGCCTTTACTCAACCAAGAGCCCCAAGGCAGGGGGTGTTTTATGTCGGAGTTTGCATCTCCTAGCCTTTGCCTAAAAAGACATATCCTACAAGGCAGCAGGGCATGAAGCAGATTGTACTGGTTTACTTGTTACCATTAGCAGAATAAACCTGACCTGACCAATAATATATAATAATATATAATATATAATAGCAATAATATAATAATATATAATATATAATAGCAATAAACAAGTATAGTATTCAATAAACAACAATTATAGAAAAAATGATAATGCTTCCTCATAACTGTGACATCGAAGGAGCTACACAATTTTTAGTTCAGAATTGCTTTTAATTAATTTTATTTAATGTTAATTTTATTTGCTGCAGCCATTAAATATATTGAGAAAATTTTCTCGAAGAAAGTTTGTTTTTATTGTTCACTTTTCTCTCATTTATT